CCTAGTGCGGTTTGGTGGCAGAAACAGTAGCATACGACCTAGTTCTTGAGGTTGCCATGAAGGTTCAGCATTTTCAACAGAGAAACCTTTTGTTGCATGGTTCCTGGAAATGGCTTTTGACAGAGTTTGCATCATACTATGGCATTTCAGAAGTATATACCAGATTAAGGTAAGAGGGCTATGTTAAGATAATTACTTATTCGACATAAATGGCCGGCATAAAGTTACACTATTATGTGGTGATGAATATTGATGGTACCTGGCATGTCAATAGATATCTTTCATATATCATGGATGTTGCCACGCCAACAGCTGACTGCCTCACCTTGGTGCACGACTTGCTCATGCCTGTTGTTATGAAGGGCCATGACAAAAGCACGTTGAGTCATCAAGAGGTAGTAATTCGAGCTTCCTTGTTCAAACCAGTAGATGCTTATTTTATCTCTACTATTTTATATTTCAGTATTGTATATAATGAACATTTTGCAAATCTTGTTGGTTGTCTCTCAGAACCGAATTTTAGGAGAGACCAGGGTTCAAATTGAGCAGACACTTGCTCATGTTTTTGAGAATTATAAATCACTTGATGAAGCAGCTCTCTCAGGTCTTATGGAGGTGTACAGTCCTGCAACTGGTGTTGCAGCTCCTGCTATCGAACCTGCAGTTAAATTGTACACACTTCTTCATGATATTCTTTCTCCAGAGGCTCAGACTTCTTTGTGCCATTATTTCCAGGTTTTGAGAAATTTCATCTCTGTAGGAAGTAGGATTGCATTGTCAAGTTGAATGTTCAATTTTTGCCCTAAGGCTTAGCATCTTTTCAGGTTGCTGTGAAAAAGAGATCAAGGAGGCACTTGAGTGAGACAGATGAATATATGGGTAACAATAACGAAGGCAGTTTGGTCGATAATGTCACTATGTCCACTGCTTACCAAAAGATGAAATCAGTGTGTCTTAACATTAGGGAGGAGATATTGACTGACATTGAGATCCATAATCAACATATACTTCCCAGGTACCGCTTCCTGTTCAGAGCCATGACTGCATGTTAACCATAAGCCAAATTAAAGAGGAATTGACTATATTTGCATCTCTAGAGAAAAACTGTGAGATCCTACATCGATTGGAGAGGGCAACGAAGCATTCCTTAAAAGGGTGTGGAAATCTCTCCCTAGTAGGGAAAGCCCAAAGAGGACAAAATCTGCTAGCGGTAGACTTGGGCTCTTACTAATGGTATAAGAGCCAGGCATCGAGCGGTATGCTAGCGATCTCACATCGGTTGGAGAGAGAAATGAAGCATTCCTTAAAAGAGTGGAAATCTCTCCCTAGTAGACACGCTTTAAAACCTTGAGGGGAAGCCCAAAGAGGATAATATCTGCTAGCGGTGGACTTGGACTGTTTACAAAATCTTTCCTTCTGTTCAGAGACTGATTCTTTTCAGCAAAAGTTCATGGACAACATGTTCAAAATAACTTTTTTTTAGTATTTGTCAAGAGAAGCTTGCTGACATAAGTTTCTATTTGCAGTTTTGTAGACCTACCAAATCTCTCTGCTTCCATATACAGCACAGAGCTTTGCAGTAGATTGCGTTCTTTCCTTATTGCTTGCCCACCAACAGGCCCCTCACCTGCAGTAGCAGAACTTGTTATTGCTACAGCTGATTTTCAGAGGGATCTTGCCAGATGGAACATTAGGTAACTTTTTGTTTATGCATAAACTAATTTTGTTAAGTTTGGGAGAACATCTTGATGTCCTTATAAATTTCCAATGATTTTTTTTTTCTTTCAGTCCTGTGAAAGGGGGTGTTGATGCAAAAGAATTATTCCATTTGTACATTCTGGTGTGGATCCAGGATAAGCGTCTATTGTTGCTTGAAACCTGCAGATTGGATAAGGTCAGTCAAATTAATTACATTTCTATATTTTGAATATTACAAACTTCATGCGAGCATGAAACATGAAGGAACAGGGTTTCTGTTAACAGTATAGAGAAGAGTACAAGTTTATCAATCAGAAAAGGACAATATGTAGTTTTCAAAGATGAACAAGGGCAATATCAGTAGAACAATTTTGTTTTCTTTGCCCACAAACTTACCGTTACTTAAAGATGCACTTTAGAGGAAAATATAAACTAAGCATCAACTGTTGTGCTTATGAGATTATGATCACTGTATTTTCAGAAAACATGCTCAGTTTATTTTACTTCTCAACTCATGGTTGTGGTTAATATGAACATAAATGCAGGTTAAGTGGTCGGGAGTTAGGACTCAACATTCTACAACACCTTTTGTCGATGAAATGTATGACCGATTGAAGGAAACATTGAGTGACTTCGAGATTTTCATTTGTCGATGGCCCGAGTACACCTTTGTTTTGGAACAAGTAAGTTCGTAATCTTGTGGCAACTCTTTTTGCTGTAAACACCGTCTCTCATCTCAACATCTCGGTGTATACCATCTCAAAAGGCATTGTTTGTTGATTTTTAAACCAAAAACCATGGGTAAGAATTTGCCTGTAATTTAAGGTCATCTTTATCAGAACTTCTATGGGATCTCTGAAGGTCTTTGATTTCTTCTCTAGTCTCATCGTCAGAAGTCTCTCTAACTAGCTTCTTTCTTTGGGATTTCTATAATAGGCTATTGCAGATGTTGAAAAAGCATTAGTGGAGGCATTGGATAAGCAGTATGCTGATGTCTTGGCTCCTCTTAAAGAAAATTTAGCACCCAAAAAGTTTGGGCTTAAGTATGTTCAGAAACTTGCCAAACGATCCCCAAGCTCTTATACTGTTCCTGATGAGGTAAGTTGACTCTTAAAATTCGAAGTTTTCTTTCGTATGTGTGTGTTCCTTAATATTGAAATTCAATGATGATTTCAGCTGGGGATTCTATTAAATTCCATGAAGAGGATGCTCGACGTTTTACGCCCAAAGATAGAAGCCCAATTTAAGCAGTGGGGTTCCTGCATTCCTGAAGGTGGAAATGTAATTCCTGGAGAACGTCTTAGTGAAGTGACAGTCATGCTTAGAGCCAAGTTCAGAAACTATTTGCAAGCAATTGTGGAAAAGTTTGTTGAGAATGTAGGTACCATTTTGCTTAATCAAGTCTTTTGTTTAAAATTTGTCGCTCTCGAGTGTTTCGTTTAAAATGGTACACAGTACGGGGTTTTCGATTAAGAAGTAGGACATTTCTTGATGTTTCTATCGGATCATCTTGTTTTATCTGCCTTGTTATTTACTGCAGACGAAGTTACAAAATGCTACAAAGCTAAAAAAGATTCTACAAGACTCCAAGGAAGCTGTGATTGAATCAGAAATACGAAGTAGGATGCAACCATTGAAAGATCAGTTGGCAAACACAATAAATCAGATTCATACTGTCTTTGAGAGTCGTGTCTTTATTGCTATCTGTCGGGGTTATTGGGATCGGATGGGACGGGTAAGATAAACCTGGATTTTTCTATACATGTTTGCTTCAAAATGGCTCCAAAATTGAGAATTCATTCTTTGAGCTTTTGCATTTTTGGATTTTTATATGGCACAGGATGTTCTAAGCTTCATGGAGAACAGGAAAGAGAACAGGTCATGGTATAGAGGCTCACGAATTGCAGTTTCGGTAAGCAATTACTTGAATTACTTTAGAGTTCGTCACGTCTGAAATAAAGGGATCTTTGCAAGCCATGATGGTCACCTATGAGTTTCCTTGTTCCTTTGTCATTCTCATCACTTATTCATTTGCAGGTACTCGACGACACATTTGCCTCACAAATGCAGCAATTGCTCGGGAATTCGCTACAAGATAAAGACCTCGAGCCACCAACCTCTATCACAGAAGTGCGATCGATGCTCTGCAAGGATTAAGGGCAGGGCCAACGTATCGTACCATAGAAACATAGTGGAGATATATTTTCAAGAAGCAAGAAGAGCCAAGGGCGGCTAACCTATATAATCTTGTTAGCATGAAGGTTTAGATGTCAATTTTGATAAAAGAAAAGAATTAGAATCCTGATTCCATTTTGTAAAGGGAGTTAGCTACTCAGCTGCTCCAAAATTTTCTTTTGGTGTCTCTTTAATGATGTACTAACTAAAGAGATGCAGATGTATATGTTACAACAATTACATAAATATAATTCTTCCAATTCTTAGAGACACTGCCTTCGAACATCCTCAAATGCATTCATAAAAATAATTAGAAAATGGGCCTGGTATGGATAAATATTTGTTTTAATCCGATTTTTTTTTTTTTTTTTTTTTTTTTTTA